CTCATGTCCTATGCCATGCCATAGTGAGCGTCTGTTCATGAGCGTCCTACCCCCTGGCGGCCCCCCTTAGGGGTGCTGAAACCAGCGCCCCGTCTGAGACATCCTCACACTCTGCTCTGAACGCAAAGGATGTTGGGCATGAAAACGAGCAAACCGCCTGAGATATCCCCACAAACTGGCCGCGAACGGGCCCGGGGGAACACCCCTGGTGGCTCCCCTTAGGGGTGCTGAAGCCAGCGCCCCGCCTGAGACATCCTCACAATCTGCTCTGACAGCAAATGATGTTGGGCATGCAATCGAGCAACCCGCCTGAGACATCCCCATAAACTGGCCGCGAACGGGCCCGTGGGAACACCCCTGGTGGCTCCCCCTATGGGGTGCTGAAACCAGCGCCCCGCCTGAGACATCCTCACAATCTACTCTGAAAACAAATGGTGTTGGGCATGAAAGCGGGCAAACCGCCTGAGACATCCCCACAAACTGTCCGCGAACGGGCCCGTGGGAACACCCATGGTGGCTCACCCTAGGGGTGCTGAAACCAGCGCCCCGCCTGAGACATCCTCACAATCTACTCTGGCAAGCAAAGGGCATTGGGCATGAAAACGAGCAAACCGCCTGAGACAACCACACGAACTGGCCGCGAACGGGCCCGTGAAACCACCCCTGGTGGCTCCCCCTAGGGGTGCTGAAAACAGCGCCCCGCCTGAGACATCCTCACAATCTACTCTGAAAGCAAAGGATGTTGGGCATGAAATCGAGCAAACCGCCTGAGGCGTCCCCATAAACTGGCCGCGAACGGGCCCGTGAGAACACCCCTGGCGGCTCCCCTTAGGGGTGCTGAAACCAACGCCCCGCCTGAGACATCCTCACAATCTGCTCTGAAAGCAAAGGATGTTGGGCATGAAAACGAGCAAACCGCCTGCGACATCCCCATTAACTGGCCGCGAACGGGCCCTTGAGAACACCCCTGGCGGCTCCCCCCATAGGGGTGCTGAAACCAGCGCCCCGCCTGAGACATCCCCACAGTCTGCTCTGAAAGCAAAAGATGTTGGGCATGAAGACGAGCAAACCGCCTGATACATCCCCACACACTGGCCGCGAACGGGCCCGTGAGACCACCCCTGGCGGCTCCCCTTAGGGGTGCTGAAACCAGCGCTCCGCCTGAGACATCCTCACAATCTACTCTGAAAACAAAGTCTGTTGGGCATGAAAACGAGCAAACCTCCTGAGACAACCACACAAACTGGCCGCGAACGGGCCCGTGAGAACACCCCTGGCGGCTCCCCTTAGGGGTGCTGAAGCCAGCGCCCCGCCTGATACATCCTCAAAATCTGCCGTGTGTTGAATAATTATTCACTGCGTGGAGCTCCCCATATGTGCATCTACTCGCATGGACCTGTCCGCCGTGAACGTCTAGGCGCAAGAGCTTTCGAATATTAACGGGCTTCAGTTGTGACGGTCTGGACATCAATCTAACTGCGAATGAATTGGAGTGTGAATGAGCCTCAGTAGTACGAGCGCGTCTCTGTGCATGAGCCTGGGGCCTCCTGGGGCCTCCTGAAACCTACTGGGGCTTGCTGGGGTCTCCAGGAGCCTCTTGGGACCTCCTGGGACCTCCTAGGAAGGTTTCGTGCCCCAGGGGAGGCGCAATCTATAGCAACAGACGTACATAAAACATTGCGGATTAGAGCCACAGGAGAAGGGCAATCTATAGGAACACGCGTAAAACACCAAGGACTCGTGCCCCAGGAGAGGCCCAATACATAGGAACATGAGTAAAACATTTAGGATTGTGTACACAGGAGAAGGACCATCTATAGAAACATACGTAGAACATCAAAGAATCGTGCTCCAGGTGAGGCCCAATCGATAGGAGCATACGTAAAACACATGGGATTGGAGCCACTCCTGTTGCCTTCTGAGGCCTCCTGCTCCTGGGGCCTCTCGGGGCCCCCTGTTGCCTTCCGAGGCCTCCTGGCGCTTCCTGTTGTCTCCTGGGGTCTCCTGTGGCTTCCTGAGGCCTACCGGAGCTTCCTGGGGCCTCCTAGAGCCTCTTGGGACATCCTGTGGCCTCTTGAGTCTTTCTGTGGCCTCCTGATGCCTCCTGGGACCTCATGTGGTCTCCTGGAGCCTCCTGGAGCCTGTTGGAGCCTCCTGTGGCATCCTGAGAAGAATCTGCGCCCACGAGCCTGGCCACCAAAACTAGCAAACCGATCGAGACATCCTCAAAATCTGGCCCACCTGGGGGGTGAAAATGAGCGCCTCGCTCGAGACATCCTCCAAATCTGCTCCGAAAGCGAAGGATGTTGGGCACAGAAACAGGCAAACCGCCTGAGACATCCCCACAAAATGGCCGCGAACGAGCCCGTGCAACCACCCCTGGCGGCTCCCCTTAGGGGTGCTGAAATGAGCGCCTCGCTCGAGACATCCTCCAAATCTGCTCCGAAAGCGAAGGATGTTGGGCACAGAAACAGGCAAACCGCCTGAGACATCCCCACAAAATGGCCGCGAACGAGCCCGTGCAACCACCCCTGGCGGCTCCCCTTAGGGGTGCTGAGTATGAGTAAGTCTGTGTATGAGTAAGTCTGTGTATGTGTACGTCTGGGTATGACTAATACTGTGTATGAGTAAGTCTGTGTGTGAGTAAGTCTGTATATGAGTATGTCTGAGTGTGAGTAAGTCTGGGTATGAGTAGGTCTGAGTATGAGTAAGTCTGAGTATGAGTAAGTCTGTGTATGAGCAAGTCTGAGTATGTCCGACAGGAGGGGAGGAGAAAAGAGGAGGAGGAAGGAGGAGGAGTAGGAGGCATCCAAGTAATAACAAGAACCCCATCTTAGGATATGGGGAACTAAGACTATGAGAAGGTCTGAGTCTGAGTAGGCCTGAGTATGAGTAAGTCTGTATATGAGTACGTCTGGGTATGAGTAAGTCTGAGTATGAGCAAGTCTGTGTATGAGGAAGTCTGTGTATGCGTACGTCTGGGTATGAGTAAATCTGAGTATGAGTAAGTCTGAGTATGCGTAAGAGTGAATCCGTGTATGAGTAAATCTGGGTATGAGTAAGTCTGAGTTTGAATCTGTGTATGAGTACGTCTGGGCATGAGTTAGTCTGAGTATGCGTAAGTCTGTGCAGTGGTAAGTCTGTGTTCTGGACGTGTTATTGTTCTGTGGAGTTGGCGGCGTCCAAGAAATAACAAGAACCCCATCTCAGGACATGGGGAATAAGAAGAGTAACCAACATAAAAAGCAATACTGGTACTAACACTCATCACCATCAACACCAGCATCAGCATCATCATCATCATCATCACCATCAACATCATCATAGTCATAAGTATCCTCACCCTCATCCTCATCCTCATCCGTATCCTCATCCTCATCCTCCGCATCCTCCTGATTATTAACGTCCTCGTCGTCCTCACCATCACCGTCACCACCACCATCAATATGACCATGGCTATCACCATCATCACCGTCATCATCGTCAGCATCACAGTCATCGTCCTCATCATCACCATCACCAACACTATCATCCTTATCACCAACATATTCAAGATCATCATCCTCAGCAGCAGCACCATCATTGGCATCATCATCATCATCAGCAGCATCATCACTATCATCATCGTCATCATTATCGCCGCCACAATATCATGCTCAGCATCATCCTCCTCTTCATCCTCCTCTCTCTTCCCCCATCCGTCCACCTTCACGCTAATTGCGCACCTGCATGTCCATCCGATCCTCTCCCTCATCCTCCTCCAACTCCTACTCCTCTTCATCATCATCATCAGCAGCATCATCATCATCATCACAACCACCAGCATCACGATTAGCATCATCATCCTGTTCCTCATCATCAGCCTCCTCATCATAATCATCATAATCTGCCTCAGCAACGCCGCCCTCGTCGTCCTCATCATCGTCAATATCATTAGCATCATCAGCATCATCATCATTAGCTTACTCATCCTCACCCTCATCTTCATCCTCATCCTCCTCCTCCTCAGCCTCACCCTCAGCATCAACATCACTAGCATCCTCATCATCGTGACCATCATCATCCTCATCATCACCATTACCATCATCATTCACCATCATCACCAACGTCTTCAGCGGCAGCATCATCATCACCGTCATCATCATCATCATCAGCATCAGCATCACCATCATCATCATTAGCAGCATCATCATCAGCATCATCACCAGCATCATCATCACATCATCATCATCATCATCATCATCATCATCATCATCATCATCATTCACATCAACATCATCAGCATGATGATCATCATCATCACCATCATCATCGTCGTCATCAGCATCATCACCATCGCCATTGTCAGCAGCGGCAGCATATCATCATCACCACCAACATCATCATCATCATCATCAGCATCAGTATCATCATCATTCACAGCAACATCATCATCATCATCAACAACATCATCATCGTCCGCATCACCATCATCACAGGCACCACCAGCATCATCATCATCAGCATCAGCATCAGCATCAGCATCGCATCACCATCATCAACATCATCATTATACTGATCATCATCATCAGCAGCATCATCATCAGCAGCATCATCAACATCATCACCATCGGCATCGTCTTCGTTCATCATCATCGTTATCATAATGATCAGAATCACCACCATCATCATCACCAGCATCACCATCATCATCACCATCATCACCAGCATCGTCATCAGCATCATCATCATCACCATCACCATCGTCATCGTAATCGTCGTCGTCGCAAACGACATCACAATCATCAGCCGCAGCATCCTCATCACCATCACCATCACCATCACCATCACCATCACCATCACCATCATCATCATCATCACCATCATCACCATCAGCGTCAACGTCTGCATCAACATGGTCCTCATCACCATCATCACCGTCACCATCATCATCGGCATCATCATCACACATCGTCATCGTCATCGTCGTGGTCCTCCCCCTCCTTATCCCCCCCTCTCTCCTCTGCAAGATGCCCGCAGTGGCTGCTCCGACGGCTGCCCAGAGGCACCGCCCTCGCTCCTGAGGGCGGGATAGACGCGGAAGGGCTCAGGGGAGCAGGAGGGCAGAGACCCGAGTGGGGAGAAGGGGACCGCTGAGGCGTTCCAGAAAGGACCTTGCCTTCGAGGATAGGAGGAGTTGGCACCTCTTCCTCGGCGGAAGGCGGCGGAAGTCAAGCGATGGCGGGACTGCCGGCGAAAGGCATGCGGAAGCTGGCGAAGTAAAACTCGGCCTCCCAAGAGTTGGCAAGGCTTTTTGTTCCACGGTTCTCGGACATGTAAAACAAAAAAACGCAGCATGAACATAATCTTTCGGAGGTCCGCGCGAAGTTCTCGGACCGGCGTTGGGTCCCCCCCCCTGGCGCGCGCAGTGGCACCAGGAGCGGCGCCAGAGGCGCCGCCACGGGGGCCCAGCGCAGCTCCGAGAAATCCGCGCAGACCTCCGAACATTTACGTGTTTACTGTTTTCCCAACTCTCCTGTATTGGGTTCTGGACTTGATAGAACACTGCGGTCTTCACTCCTTTCGTCCGTCCTTCCTTTCCGCCTCCCTCCACCTCTCTTCCTTCCTGCCTTCTACTTGCTACCCCCGACCTGCCTCTTTCCATCTCTCCTACCTCGTCTTACCTCGCGGCTCACTGGGAGGGCTGCTAACTGAGAAACTTTTCTTTGGGGCTGCTAACTGAAAACCTGTCGCCACTTTTGCGGGCTGCTGGGGGCTCAGCGTAGTGACGCCCAACGGGGATTCAAATTAGACCTCGCCATAGCTGGGGGGCTGCGAACTGAGAAATTGTCGCCGCTTTCGGGGGGCTCAGCACAGTGACGCCCTACTGGGATTCAGGTTAGACCTCGCCATCCATTGGGGGGGGGCTGAGAACTGCGAAGCTGTCGCCACGTTCGAGGGCTGCTGGGGGGCCTAGCGCAGTGACGATCTACAGAGATGCATCTTAAATCTCGCAATCCCTGTGCAAGGCTGCCAACTGCCATACTGTCACCACATTCGAAAGCTGCCAGGGGGGACCAGCGCAGTGACGCCCAGCTGGGACTGAGATTAGACCTCGCTATCCCGTGGGGGGGGCTGCGAACTGCAAAACCGTCGCCACTCTCGACTCTCGAGGGTTGCTGGAGGGCCTACCACAGGAACGCCCGACATAGTAGACCTCGCCATGCCTGGGCGGCTGCGAACTGAGAAACTGTCACCACTTTCAAGGGCTGCTGGGGGGCTAAGCGCTGCGACGCCCTACGAGGACTCAGATTCGACCTGGCCATCCCTGGGGGGCTACCAACTGCGAACTTGTCGCCACGCTCGAGGGCTGCTGGGGGGGGGGGGCCAGTACAGTGGCGTCCTAAGGGAATTCAGGTTAGACCTCGCCATCCCCAGGGGGCTCCGCGCTGCGAAAATGTCGCCACTTCCGAGGCCTCGCTCGCTCCCGGCACAAGCTATGAACAGCCAATCACATGGGACGCAAAGGCGACCTGGCGTCGGCGTCGCTGCCCATCAGCGGGCCATTTGAAACATCATCATTCTTCTTTGGCATCCTTCCTCCCTCGTTGTCGTCCTTTTCATCCTTCCCCCTCCTGGTGCTCCTGCATTGACTTTTCGGCCCCCCTTCCGTCCTCTACGCCCCCTCGTTCCCGCACCTTGACTATTCGAGCCTGTGGCCTTATGCCTCGTCATCATATTGCTGTCCTGTGAGTCGTGCAGCGCGCGAGCATCCCATTGGCGCAACGAATGGCAACGCTTGTGTTGTCATCATCCATGACATATTGGGTCATTTACTCTGGTTACGTGATGCAGCCGGGTTGAATACGTCGCCGAGTAGGTCTTTTCTTACAGAGGGAGAAGGGGAGAGGGGGAGAAGGGGGGATGGATCAGAAGGGAGAGGGGAGGTGAGTTGGAGAGCGAGGGGTGAAGGGAAAGCGAAGGAAGTGAGCGCGGGAGGGGAAATGGGGAATCTCGGGGTGGGGATCGCAAAGATAGGGCGAGGAAAGAATGAAAGAAGTTGAGGGGAGGTGGAAGCGGAATGGGAATTGGAGGAGAGAGGACTGGGGATGCGGAGACGGGATGGGGGGTGGGGCGGGAAAGCATGAGGGAAAGTGATGGAAGAGGAGGGAAACGCAAGAAGGGTGGGGAGATGGAGGGAGAAGAGGGGCGAGAGGGCGAGAGGGGGAGAGAGGGGAAGAGGCAAGCTAGGTGCGCTCGCGCCATTTCTGACATCTTACCCCTCCCACCTATCCTTCCCATTGCGCTGAATTGCTCTCTGTCTGCGGACGCGTGTCATGGCGGACCTGGAAATCCCCCAAAAAAACCTCATCGTGCTACGCGCAATCGGAAAACTGGAGCTGCGTGCGTAGGAGGGGGGGGAGAAGGAGGAGGTGGCGGATAAGCAGGAGGATGATCAGGAGGAAAAGGAAGAGGAAGAAGGAGGATGACGACGACGACGACGAACAGCAGCAGCGGGAACTGGAGTGGAAGGAGCGGGAGGAGCAGGAGGACCAGGGGAAGGCCGAAGAAAAGAAAACAAACGGGCGACAACGATGAAGGAATCGGAAACGGAAAAGTGGCCCGCGCTGGGGCGAGAGCTCTCTTCTGAACGAAGGGGGGGAACCCGATCCTAAAATGGAGCCACCGCTGCAACGGCGACATCATTTTGACACACCGAATAACTACCGCGAAACACACACACACAAGAAAGACCAACGTTCGAACTCCTGCGTGTAGCGGAGAAGAGCAGGCGACTCCCCGGCCATCTTCGGGGGAGAGGGGAGAGTTCTCTTCACACGGGATACTTGTAGAGGGGGGCATGGGAAGGAGTTAGGAAAGAATGTGGGGGAGTGGGAATGAAATTCACACCAGCCCTCTGGTCTTAAGCGACATAGGGAATTACTTACGCGCCCCTTTTCGAAAAGAGGTTCGCTTCTCCTTATATCCCCTCTCCGTGTGTCTGGATATCTCCCCGCGCGTGGCGCTAAAGCGTCCAATATGGCCCATGGTCGCTCCAATATGGCCACAGGCAGCCGGACGTTGCCTCCAAACTTTGTACACTAGCTGGATATGTATGTATACGGTTGAATGTGTATATATCTACACACGTCTAAATGTCTCAATTCACCTTTGTCCATACATACATCTTATCACACGGATGAAGATCATCTCCAGAATGCCTCCAAGAGGTTTTGTGGTATGTGATGTTAGTTGGCTGTGCCTTGGCCCAAGGAGCCCTTGGAAGGTCAAACTGCGCGAGCGGCGCACGTACGTGCCATGCACACACACTAAACCACACCCGTGAAACTCTGTCACGAGCTGACCGGTTGGGGCGCGGCGTATCGCGCCCACAAACTCGCAGGCCGTTAAGGGGCAACAGGAGGTAGTAAAGGCGTTCCAACTAAGGAGACAAGTCGAATGCGGCCTATCGGCCCAGTACCACCTCCTAGCGTTCACTCAGTGCCGTTACTTCCCTATGTCGGGATAGTGCTCATCGTGGATAATACTTATCCGGCGTGGTAGTGTTCAGAATGGCCCTCGCCAGCTGCTTCATTGCTCCCTCAACCGTCGACTCCAGGTCTGGTGTTATATCATAGGTGCCAGTATATAGTACGTTACTAAGTAGTCACTAGGCATCGCCTTCGTAAGACAATCCGCTGCAATAGTGCCACTGTCGATCTATCGTGTTTTGTCACAGAAGAATCTAAGATGTGAGACCTTAAAAATCCTCTTGTCCTCGGGTACATATATCTTGGCGTAAACTACCAAGATCAATACTCAAGCGTTTGTCTTCCACTTTGCCCATCGCCGGCGCATTCCGGTGCTGTTCCAGGGCTTTGCAATCTGTCATCCACAGATGCCTCATAGTCATCGCAGAAATCTTTTCCCAATCAGAAGGAAGCTTGTGCCTGGCACCAAGCATGCCACGAGCGTCGACAATGGCAGCACGGATGCGCACACCTCATTCTACACCCCAAAACCATGCCAAAGCCTCCGCCTGAAGGATCATTTGCGTAGGCGCCTGATGACCTTACTCGACAGACATATAGGGTAAACATGATCACTGTTCCCCTCGGCAAACCCAGGTCTGGCCAGACCGTTGAATCTAGCCCTCTGTGATCTGAGTGGCTCAAGCTGAGCCTTAATGAAGTCGGTCTCTCCTGCCCAGCTGGCGTCGGCAAGTGTAAGAACGATCGTGTCCTTGTCCCATTTGACTGCGCCTCCCTTAAACACGAGTCCACTGTCTGACGACTGCGCTGCCTCTTCCAGAACGCGAACCGCTCCCTTAAAGATGAAACGCCTTTACGTGGTTCACCGCAGTCTGTAGTCGACTCAGGCGATAACGTAGTCCTGGCTTGCATTGCCGGGCAGCCCGTGATAGAGCTCCGAGCTCCGGCGACTGACCTGAGTTGGGATACTTCTCCTTCAATGCATGTCCTGGTAAAGGGGGCTATCCCTGGGGTGGGATGCAGCTTCAATATTCTCAACGCTATCATGTGCACGGACGCGGGCAACATAATCCGTATAGCTGACAACTTCTAATCTACAATGATGGAAATCTCCTGGTCGAACTTCTTGTATATCCAACTCCTCCAATACTGAATAATCTCTTGGCTCTCGTTATCTGCAGTCCATAAGATGTCGTCTACATGGGTGTTTAACGCGCACGTGATCTCACCTTCGATATTTGCGATGCTGAAGAGAGCTGGCATGATGCGGCTCTCTCAATCCATGTGCCTTGAAACGCTGAACGTTGACGCATTTCCCCCCATGGGCCCCCGCCCGCGTCGCGGGTTCCGTAGACGGGCATGCGGGCGATAAGCGCTCCGCCCTCCGGGACTTCTTCAAATCCATATGATGGTAGCTTGAGTAACAAAAGGCGGTCGAGTTCTTGCCCCTGGAAGTATGCAGATGCAATGTCGGCGCATTTCAGAATCTCGTTCGTTCCTGCAGCCCGAGACGTCACCGACCTTAAACCTTCAAGTTCGTATGTCGGCGAAGCCGCGCGCATGCCAGATGGCTCCTCTGAATCTCCTCGCACGACGAGTCGGCTCCTGTATTGGGCGCAACCGGTGGCCCACCTGCTCCACGCAGATGCTCGTCCTTACCAATATCAACCCATGGTGTCGGGATCCTGCGATATCCTTCATCCAAGAGCCTCCGTATTTCTATCGGATCTATGGGTACTGCTGCATTAAACTTTCCCCACTTTCCTCGTGCATCTTCTCTCGCAAGTCGCAATCCGCTCTTGACGTCTTCCGATTCTCGATGGGATACCAGGTTTGTGGCAATGTTCGATTTATTCAGTGACTGGGTATTGTTTATGGTACGCTCATTGAAGAATCCTTCAAGCGGTTCGTGTGGTTTGACAGCTATAGATGCTGTTCCGTTCTGCAGTAGATCTACACCTGCACCTGTGATACCAGTCCCTTGCCACGCATCGAGCAGTGGGCTAGCTTGCTCGGGCATTGGTTCCAGGACAGAGTTCGGCGAAACATCTCCTGGTGTCCTCTCAGCAGCTGACGCGCTGACCCACCTACCGCGAGTCTCCTACGCAACACCTCACTACGCCCGCGCATTCCGTTCGGGACATCATCCAACAGAGATCTCTGCAACGGCAACGGTGCGCGGATCACTTGCGGTGGCCGTGGTGCTTCTTGCTCCTCCAGGGGAGTCACTGCATCACCTTCATACTCGTCACACTTATTATATACATGAACAACGTGTTGAGACTCCTCCATTGCAACTTCTAGCTCGAAATCTTCTGGGGAGGAGGAGGAGGAGGGAATGAGGAGGAGGACCAGTGAAAACCTAAGACGCATCAGCGATGTTGCAAGAAACCCTCCCTTACATTTCCCTCTTCATGGGGCCCTACATACATGTATCTCCGTTGCGGGAAATGTCCCATTGGAGTACAAGCGCCAGGGACTCCTCAATCGTGCCACAACACAATTCCTGGAACTTCAGCGTCGCGAGTCAACGTGACTGGCGCGCTCTGACAATCCTAAACCGTTAAACCATGCCAGAACACCATTCCTGGGAATTCGATCGTGCGAACCGTTGAAGCTGCTGCAAAATTTGAAGAGAAGCGAGCGCGGCGCTAAGGCGAGAGCCAACTTCTGAACAAGAGCCACCCTTCACCCTTCATCCGTAAAACGGCTGCAAACCTTTAAAATAAATGAGCGCGGCGCTAAGGCGAGAACCACATGGTGGAACCGGCCCGCCCTCCATCCGAGAAACGACTGCAACTGCTCAAGATGAATGCGCGCGGTGCTAAAGCGAGAACCATTTTGCAAATGGCCCGCCCTCCATCCGTGAAATGATTGCGAATTTCATGCTTCAGAAAAATAAATGGAGAAGAAGTCCCAGGCGAACACACACGGCCCGCTCTACCGACACGTCTGGGGGTGCGACAGGGACGAGTTCTGTATAAGGAAGACGGCTAGAGGAGGAGGAGGAGGAGGAGGAGGAGGAAGAGGAAGAGGAGGAGGAGCAAGGGGTGAAGAGGGGGAGAAAGGAGGAGGGGGAGGAGGAGAAACCAGTGTAAACCCAAGACTCATCAACGATGGTTGGATAAATCCTCCCCCTCCAATCTCCCTCTTCATAGGTCCCTCATTTCCACTGAAGGAAATCCCCGTTGGGAGATCACCGTTTGAAGATTCTGCAGAATACCAAAACACCATTCGCGAGACTGCAACGCCACGAATCAACCTGATTATTGCGTCTCGACGATCCTGGGACTTCCACACAGCGACTCAACGTAACTGTTGCGCCCTTAGAGCCCTGAATCGTTTCGACGCACTCTTCCCGGTACGTTAACCATGGGACGGGACTCCATGAAGCTCTTGCAAATGGTTGGGACGAGTGCGCGCGGCGCCTACGCGAGAACCACATTTTGTAAACGAGCCGCCCCCGATCCGCGAAACTCTTGATTTCTGTCTAACGGAATGAGCGCGACGCTAAAGCGAGAACCACATTTTGAAAACGGCCTGCCTTCAATCCGTGAACCTCTTACACATGTCGAGAAAAATGAATGTGCGCGGAGCTAAGGCGAGAACCACATTTTCGAAGCGGCCTGCCCTCCATCGTCGCCCTTCCGACTGGCCTCGGGTGCGACAAGGAGGAGCGATTGAAACGAAAAGGAATGGAGACGGATCGAGGAGGAGGAAAGAGGATGAGGAAGAGGCAACAAGATAAGATTAGGAGGGGGATGAGGAGGAGGAGGAGGAGGAGGAGGAGGAAGAGGGAGGAGCAAACCCCAAACCCTCCTCCCCGTGCGAATGCCTCCCGCTTGGCCCGCCGGTCCGGCCTGCGAGCGCCGCCACTCCGAGCCGGTCGCTGGGTGCCGCTCGGCAGCCTGCCGCTCCGCCTGAAGACGCGGGCGGCGGAGGAGCGGGGGGCGGCCGTGAGGCCATGGGGGGATGGGAGGAGGAGGAGGAGGAGGAGGAGGAGGAGGAGAGGGAAGAGAGGAGGAGGAGGAGGAGCAGGAGAAGGAGGAGGAGGAGGAGGAGGATCCCTTAGGAACTTGGGGGTGTGCGAAATGGAATTCGGCACTGGTTGGGATGGTCCTGGACATCCGGGCCAAGGGGCCCGACCAGGACCTCTCGAACGTAGCGTTCAAGAAGCTGTGGTGTGACATCTTCGCTAGGGCCACAGATGCAGGTCTGCCCCTCTTACCCTTCACTTAGGTCAAAACTCATGTGTCATCATATGTCCCGGGTCCGCGCCCTGGACCAACGGGTCCGTTTCTGGGTTCGGGCAAGGGGCTGCGAGGGTAACATATTAGCTAGATTGGGGGCTGAGATACACCCGCGCAAACCTCAGGTGCGGAGGCTTTTCTACAGCGATGGAGACCCAGTTCAGCCAGAGCGTGGCCCTCATCCACTCCACGATGAAGATTTGTTTTCGGCTCGGCCTCCCATATGTCCAGGATTTCCGAACAAAATTCTGCATTTTTCCGTCACTTTTCGAACTGGTGCCAACACTTCGAGGCCATCGCGTGGTCCGTGTCGACCAGACGGGTAGGTATCAGTCCACAGTTTGCGGAGGAGCGGGCGGTAGGGTAGATGTTTGCACGGCGGCATGCCGTGACATTCCCAGGATTGCGAGGTCTGCCCGCCTGACCCATTCTGACCGTCGTTTGGCGCTCCAGGTGTGGTGCGTTCGGGACCTCCCATTCGAACTACTCATCTGCCGCTTGCCATGGCCACCCCGCAATAAACACGACAGCGAGAGCCTCCAGATGGTCAAACCTGGGGTGGACCGTCCTTTTGTAAGCAGCTTGGACGGGCCGTAAGGACCCAGCAGCAGTAGCAGCGGAGGACAATCCGTCGTGTCGCGCCGCCGCCGCTGCCCAATTTCTGACGGCGACAACTTCGACGTCAGCCGCGCCCCACCGTTCTTCCGTTGTTATTTTCCCCTCGGCTTTGTCTGACATCCACTGGGACAACTGTTTTTGAACCCGACGGAATCCGGCGGATGTGGGGGAGGAGGAGGAAGAGGAGGAGGAGGAGGAGGAGGAGGAGGAGGAGGAGGAGGAGGAGGAGGATACGAACAAGAACAAGAAAAATAATAGAAAGAAGAAGAAGAAGAAGAAGAAGAAGGAGAAAGCGGAAGATAAGGGAAGGGGTGGAGGAGGACGAACATGACGAGAATGACGGAAGAGGGCGAGGAGGACGGTTGAAGACGGAGGAGGGCGGAGGAGGACGGAGAAGGGCGAGAAAGATGAGGATGACGATGAGAAGGAGGAGGAAGAGGAGGGGGAGGAGGGGGAGGGGGAGGAGGAGGAGGAGAAGGAGGAGGAGAAGGAGGAGGAGGAGGTTGGAGCGCCATATGGGGGCGCGGGTCTCCCAAAACGTGTTCAAACCGAACTACGGGACCAAGCACATGCATCACGCGCGTGCTGCACTAAATCGTCTACGTGGACGCGCATGGAGGTAGAAGACATTCGGAGTGGGAAAAAGTCGGAGCGGCGAAAGAAGGAGGACGGAAGGGAGATCCAGTCCTCAGGAGCTTTATGCAAGTCCTTGTGTTCCTGGACCCTGTGCGACACGCTCTGACCCGTCATGGCAGTGGACATCTTGATCTCCTGGGGTCTCTTCAGGAGAACCGCAGCCGCGGCGCTCACGTCAGACGCCGAGGCGGTCCATCTCCTTGCCCTCAGTTCAGCCCGTCACGCGGCCTTATGATGCGCCGCGGCCGCTGCATCTCTGCGAGGCGTCCGACGGCCGCGATCATCAACGGTAAGTAGATCGGCACCCTCAGCATCTGGGAGAAGATCGGCGCGACCGACATCAGGAGGAATATCGGCGTGGTCGTCCTCGAGAAGAACATCGGAACACACATCTTCTGGGGGAGGAGCGGCAAGAGCGCCATCTGGATGGCGATCGGCTTCGCCTCGAACGTCAGGAGAAAGATCGGCTCGAACGTCGTCTGGAATCCGATCGGCGGGAACATCCTCAGGAACAATATAGGCACGAGCGACATCGGGAAGAAGAGCGACTCGTACGTGCTCAGGAAGAGGGCCAGCACGGACGACATCTGGCCGAAGATCGGCCCTAATGTCATCTGGGAGCGGATCGGCACAAACTTCATCTGGCAGAGGATCGGCTCGAACGTCCTCTGGAATCAGATCGACACGAGCATCATCAGGAAGAATATCGTCGGCAATTAGGTCAGCACGTACTGGACCTCCAAGGTGAGCTTGAGGAGGGGGCCGAATCTGAATCTCCTGCGCCGCCCCCAGAAGATGTGCACAGGCAACAGCAGGGCCATCATCTGAGAGACGACGTCCCCCATGAGACGCAGCCAGACTATCTCGAACGTATGCGGGAGGACGATCAGCACGAGCGCCTTCAGGAGGGAGGTCGGCTCGAACGTCTTCTGGAAGCGGATCGGCACGCATCGCCAGGAAGAGAGTCGGCACAAACGACCGCGGGATCGGCCTCGAGAGCGTCGGTGCGGAGCTCAAGTGGCCGCATCAAGTCCCCAGTGGCCTCCAGGAGATGGACAGCCACTATCGAGACCGCCTCCCTCAGCTGGTGTGCGAACACCTCGGCCGCCGCCACCTCCCGCGTTGTGTCTTCGAGAGCCGCTCCGCCGTGGTGCCCAGCCGCGCTGACAGCGCCTCTGGCTGAGTCTGCACCTGCTGGTAGCAAGCCCCAACCAGCCCACTCACTCTCACAGGGACGCACAGAGCTTCAAAGTCCAGGCCGAGCACCGGTGCCTCGTCATCGGTCCCTGCGGCCAGGTGCGGGTCCTCCTCGCGCGGTTCGCTCCGCCGCCCTTCAGCATCCAGCATCTGCCCGCTCGCTGGGCGAGGCATGGAGGGAACGCCCGACGCCGTCTGCCAGAACCCAGGCGCCCACCGCGGGGTGAGCGCGTCCATGCACAGTACCTGGGGCTCCTTCTTCGGCGAGGCACTCAGAGACTCGACCACCTTCGCAGTTGTTCCTCGCTGCCATCGGACTCGCCTCAGTGGCTGCCACAACCGCAGCAGGGGGTCGCCTCAGTAGGTTATCGGGGTCGTCGTCTTCTCGGTCTGAACCGCTGGTCTGAAGACAGCTCCCACAATCGCGGCAGGGACGCTTGGGGGAGAGCCGGTGGGCTGCAGAGAGCCGCCCAATGCGAGTCAAGTCATCTTTGACGCGCTCCAAGTAGGCAGCGACCAGCTTGAAGTCTGCCTGCAGGGCGCCCTCAGCAGGAAGCGCGAGGAGAGGGCGATGACGTGCCCGTGGCGCCCTCCTGGAGATCCGCCGGGCCGCGAGAGCGGCAGCTGCCGCAGCGGCCGAGCCGCCCGCGTCCAGGAATCGGCAGACCCCATTGGGCCCACTACTCGAGTGGAGCTCGAAGCCCATCGCCTGGCTGAAGTCCAACTGCAAGGACAGAGCGAGATCGAGGGCCCGGGACCCGCATCCTGCGATCAACAACAGCAGCGTCCAGAGAGAAGTCGACAGGCACCTGCGGCGCTTGTGCCACCAGGATCTGCTCCTTCTCCCGCTCGGGCGGGGCCGAGGCCCGTGTGGACAGAATCCGAGCGAGCGCCCGCTGCTTGTCCGAGGCGTCGACGGCCGTCAGAACCTTAACCCTGTCGTGGAGGCGATGGCGCTTTGCAGCAGCGCTGCGGCAATGCGTGCCGAGCACACGGGAAGCCAAGTCCGCACTCTCGACCTCCGCGTCACACCATCGGCCACCAAACGCAGCCGCTGTCATCACCAGGCACCCCACGAGAACAGCCACCAGCGCGGCCGCAGCACGGGCTCCTCGGCGCCATGGGGACATCGCAGTGGCCACGCGCGCGGCCGACGCCCGAGCCATTGACTTGACTCGAGCCAGAATGGCTACAAAGGAGGAGGAGGAGGAGGAGGAGGACGAGGAGAAGTGTCACAAAGGTCGAGTCGGGCTTGTTGGGGCGGCTGAACTAGTTCTGCCGCAGAGGTTGGACGAGAGACGGGGGAAGGAGGAACCTGTTCGCTTGCCACATCCTGCCACTTAAACCTAACCCGCATGTCATCCGACGTGTCCCTGAGCGCCTCCAGGACTGCCCAAGTTGAACCTAAGGCGGCCCAAGAGGGCTCCAGGCAGCCCAAAAAGCTCCTGACGCTCAAACTTGTTTCAACAGAACCTCCAGGAGGCCCTCAGGCAGACAGCAATCACTGTTCCCCTTGTATGCGTCAATGCTTTCGATGTTATCGCCATTTCGGGTTCCCGACAGTCTCAGAAGGCCCTAGAGGCTCCCGATGTGGACTCAAGGCGGAACACGCGGCCCCCAAGACGGCTCCAAGACGGTCCAAGATGGCCTCAAGACGGCCAAGATGGACTCCAAAACTGTCCCCGAACTCATCCAGGACATCCAAGCTGGCCCCAGGAGAACGCAAGATGGCACCAGGATCTCCCTCCAAGACGGCCCAACATGATGGCCTCGGCCAAGTAGGCCCCTGAGACGTTGAAGAATAGACCTTCAAAACAGCCATACTACGCCACAAGAAGTCCCCAAGACGACCCAGACAGACCCCTAAGACGGCCTGGGAAAGGTCAGACGGCCCAAGAATGCCCAAGACGCCCCACGAGGCCCGTAAGAGGCCTCCAGTGGCCCCCAAGGGGCCCCTCAGAGGCCCTCAAGAGGCCTCTCGGAGGCCCCCAAGAGGCCCTCAAGAAACCTCCTGAAGACGTCAGGTTAGCACCACAAGGTTTCTTCCTCTTCCACATCCTCCTCCTCCTCCTCCTCCTCCTCCTTCTCCTCCACCTCCGTCTCCCTATATTTCTCTCTCAGCCTCCTTTCTCTTCTTCCCCCAAGTGTTCCCCCAAGGGTTTTAACAACAGCAGAGGGAACACATAATCCAATAGCGTGGTCAGACTTTGGCCCAACGTGTGGCCTCAGATGCGCTTCCAAGAGGCAGGGGGCGGCGGTGGTTGGCCGTATGCGTCTTGGACCCACGGCCCCTGCACTTGCCGGAGAGGTGCCAGATACGGCCGGATGCGTGCCGGATGCGTGCCTGATGAGCTGAAGTGGTGCCCCCTGACGCTGCGGGGAACATCCGCACCTCCCTAACATAGCCGCACCTTCGCTCGGCATTTCACAACGTAGGCGTTTCCAGAAAGGCAGGAGGGGCGGTGATTCGCCGAAGGCATCTTCGATACCCCCAAGGCGAGAAAGCAGTAGCGGGGTCTGTGCAGGATGGGTGCGGCAGCGCAACTGAACTACAATGCTGATCGTGTTTTCGCACAAGCACGCACGAGCAGCGTAAGGCAATTCGGTCCACTCGCCCCGAGTTGCGCACAATGTTTATGCACACCGCATCGCTCGAACTGCTACAACGCCCACGGCCAGGCAACCGGCCACGCTCGCAAGGCATATGCCAGCAGCTATGATCGCGACCTCGTGGTATACGCGAGGACCCGGCACCCACTCGACACCCCAGCGCTCGGCCAGGAAGACTGCGAGGTTGGGACCGCAACAGCCGATCAAGCCACCCACCAACAACACTAGAGAAGGGTAGATGCCGCTGGGCTGGCTCATGTCCACCACCGTAAAGATCGCTGTGAGGACCAACCAGGATGCGGACGTGAACAGCACGACGGGGAGGTGCCACCGGACCACGCCAAACCAGACAAGGGCGTGCCTGATCATCAGAAGAGCAGGAGCCACAGGCGCGTTCACCAACAAAAAAAGCCCTGTATTGTAAAAGGCCGCGGCAGTATTTGCTTTCCACGTGACAATGCCTGACCAATCGCACTGGTGGCCCTCGAGGCCGACAAACCCAGTGGCGAACGTCACGATCCCGAGAAAGCATATCATCAGAAGCGGCCACATGATGCTACCCGTGGAGCAGAGCCCTGTGGCCTTCCAGGCGGTGTCCGCCACCGTGCCTTCGACACGATGCGGCGTGCTAGAATGCCTGCTCGATACTCGGAAGATGCAGCTAGCTCGGTGGGGACGGCCGCCCCTTCGCCGCAGACTCTCTGGAAAACCGCCCTCTCGGTTTGCCCCTGGCGCCCTGGGCCCTCATGACGGTTCTAGGGCGGCCCAAGAGCGCCAAAAAGGCAAGATGTCCTGGGCCGCAAGATGCCCCCCCAGGAGGCCCCAAGAGGCGCCAGTAAGCCGCAAGAAGCGCCCCAGGAGCCCTCCAGCAAGGACCAAGATGCAGAACACATTGAGAACCTGTGGTCTTCCATGCGTTCTGATCCCCAGGCTGTTCGGCACAAGACGGCTCCACAGAGCCTCCAAACGGAGGGCCCCAAGATGCCCTCAGCACTACCCCAAGAGAGCCTCAAGAGGTCACGATGACCTCCCATGGCAGCCCAAAAGCCAGGGAGAAACGGCAAGAGGGGACCAGCTCAGGGGGAAGCATCGAGCCTGACTCGGCGACATGTCGCCGATAGATCAGCGGCCGGCCCTCTGGCAGCGCATCCGCCCGCACCTGGGCGGGGCGTGCCGTCGGCCCCCCCTCTCGGCGAGGAGCGGGCAGCTGGCTCTCGGCCTCTCTGGGAGTGCCCGGCAGGACCACCGCGCCCCAGACGGCCCCGAGGCTCCCAGCCGGCAGGCCCGAGCTGGATCGAACCGTGCAGCCGGATCGGGCCAGACACGGCTCGGGTGGCCAGCGAGTCGTCCCGAATCGGACTGGAATCGGATCGCCGCGCCCGGCTCCGGCCGGCCTCGGGCGACGCCGGCGAAGTCAAACGAATCGAATCGGATCGGAATCGCAGTCCCCCGCTGGCGAATCGCATCGCGGGCAGCCCTAGCAGGGCCACGACTCCCTCCAGAAGTCACCAGAAGTTCTCCGATGGGGCCCCAGGGAGCCCCAATGAAGGCACCAGAGAGCCTCCCATAAGCCCACGAGGGGCAGCGAGCGAGCCATCAGCGTTACGGCCGCACGAGGCTAAAGCATCGAAGCGTTGCATCCCTCACGATCCCACGATGGCTTTACCTGACCCATGTGGGAGAGCCTGATGTAACCACCCTGCATGCATGTCGACACCGCGCTGGTAAGGTGGCGGGGCGTGCCGCAGGCAGCCGGATAATAGAAAGTACAATAGAGGATAGCGACGCCAAGGACGTTTCCGATCACATGCCCGACCTGAAGCTCGATACCTTTGTCAATGACCTGTCGGCTGGCAGCGGGCCAGAGTACAGTCATGAGAGCGAAGGCCCAGCATTGGAACATCAGGGTGAGGAGAAGGGGAACTGCAGCGAAACGCATCGTCTGTTGGATGGACCAATCCACTACCTTGTAACCGTTTCGCCGAGCCTCGATCGCGGAGCGAATCAAGCGCTGGTCTTCCGGTGAAGAGCACTCGGCCTGCAAACAGCTGCAAGCGCCAGCATGCGCAAGAGTGTTTCCCAACTGGATGGGTACCGCCATGGATCCCGCAATGAATATCTCATACACACACCAGAGCCTTTGGTATATGTCACACCGCCGGTTGGGCACAACGACCATGCGGCCGTTGTATTTGTGTACACGCTGGAATCCGAGCCAGATAAGTGGAGCACATGCAAAGGAGATCAAAGACAGCATCACAAAAAGTCTGCCCTCATAATCCAAGTTCACCTCCGTCCAGCGGGAGCTGACATCCAGCACGTAGCAAGTTGACCATGAGGGTATGCAACCCTGCTTGGAGATGGGCACGCTGAAAAACGTCACAGCAACGATGAGGCAAACGGCCGGCGCACAAGCAGAGAGCCAAAGCCAACGCCAAGACTGAGCCTTTGAGCCGCAATCGCGAATGTGCTGGAGGGCCCGGAAAAAAGGGTTCTGCATGAGGTCCGAGCCCAGCTGATCCGCGATGCTCGGGCCGGAGCCGTCCTCGTTCTGGAAGAGGGCAAAGGCACAGATGAACATCACGTCATCCTTGCCCACCGTGCGCTCCAGCGTATCCACAAACCTTTCTGCGTTCTCCGCCCACGCGTGCGACACCATGATGTTGATCTCCTGCGGCGACGACTGATTCACCAGGAGTGCGTAGCCGCAGCCTCGGCCCGCTGTGCGGGGCTTCAAGTAATCGTTGACGAGAACGTACAAGCTGTTCCCGTGATCCCAATTCAGATCCTGCTGGCATTCCGTGAGGAAGGCCCGAAGCTGAGCGATCGTGATGCCCCAATGTTGTGGCCCAAAATCCTCGCGCTTCCCGTTGCTCCATAATGACTGCGGCTTTGAAATCCATCCTGACGTTTCCGGCTGTGCACTCCATCCTGACGTTTCCTGATCTGCATCGGCTTCGACTGTCTGGCATGGCCGTTCTGACGGGATCGGGGCCGGATGAACCTGAGTCATGACTGCTCCCAGCTCATAGGCGCAGTACTCGAATAAAACAATTTGGCAAAAGTGGTCTGAGCCTCTATGTTGTTATGGTGAGGATGTCGGCAGCGGCGGAGGGGGGGGAGAAGAGAGTCCGCTCCGGGGCGAAATCGAACGAGCGCCAGCGCACAAGGCCTCACGAAAGGTGCCATGCATCCTCAGCTCTACCCCAGTGACAGTGGGACGATGGTGAAGACGTCGATCGAGTCCACCGCCGCAGCACAGCTCATTGCCCAAAAGACGAATTTGAAGAAGGTAAGCCCGTGGCCGCCCAAACCAGGACGCTAAACCCGAGGACAACGGGCACGACAAGGCCAACGACCCGCGCATCCGCGCCAAAAGCGAGGTATCCGTGGACAGCGATCTCGTGCAACTGTGCGCGCGGGCGCGGTCTGCGCTCCTGCCCGTGTCTTGATTCTAGCGGTGGCCGCCTGAGCTGGCGCCCCCCGTGGGCGGCCCCGGGGTGACAGCGAAGTGCGCACCTGCGAAGAAGCAGTGGTGCTGGGGGGAATGCCTGACGACCTTCTGCACGAGGACCCGCGGCAGTGCCCCGCCGACGAGGAGACGCCTCGGGACAGCGCAGGCCGCCTCCTGGATTCCGTCCGAGCGCCCCTCCTGCAGCCATTGCGGCGCGGTGAATGGCACGCCGAAGGGCCGCGGCCTCGCGACGGCGCCCCAGCGACGTGGGCGAGCCGTCCGCGGCAAAGGCAGAGAGCACCAACGCACGAGGTCAAATGACGGTGGCCCGCGTGACATCCACGCAGCCAGCCATGGCAACCGAAGGCAAGCCCTTCGATGCGAAGGCGTACCGGAGCCGATTGGCGATGGCGGCCTCGTGGCCCAGAGGGGCCTCGGGCGGCGGGCCGTACTTGGCGACGAAGCCCGATGGGGGGTCACATTGGTATTGCCAGGGTGGACGGCGACCTTCGCGGAGCCACGCGCCGATGCGTAGGTGTTGGCGCGACACAGCCCGCTTGGTGACTGCCCCCTTGTATTTCTCAACGGGATGGTGTTCGGGCCCAGCGCACCCGAGCCGAAAAATTGCATGTCGGCACCACGGTGGCGACGATCGCGGCCAGCTCATCCGCGATGGCGGCCGAGAGCGCGTCGTATATCAGGGTGTGCAGATTGAGTTTCGGGCGAGGGGCCGCACATGTCCCCACGTGATCAAGGACCCTGCAGTATACTGCGAAGCTGCTGGCCAAAACGCATCGCTCATCCCATATCGTCGACGCATGCACGGAAGATTCAAGGTCAACCGAGCGACGAAATGAACGGGTCTTATGCGAGATGACATAGTGACCATACGCCGCGGCTTACGCGGGCCGCCAGCGAGGCATGCTGCAGTGGAAACGAGGGCGCTTACGCGCGACCTTCTGCGGGCAGATTGCGCGCTACGTGCCACTGGCGGCGCAGACGCACAGCTCTCTCCGCCCCCTCGCGAGACCGACCTGGAGAGGGGCACCTCCCCAACCCAAGCCGCGACCCGCGGAGCCTGATTACCTGCGCGCCCCCCGGGGGCGACCCGGGGCTTGACGGGGACCTCGCCGCTGCCATCCGCGAGGGGCCCCCCGGAGAGGGGCACCCAGAGGCCCAGGCCACGGCGCGCGAAGCGGGATCACCTTCGCGCCCCTGGGGGCGACTCGGGGCGTCCACGGTGACCTCGCCGCTGCCACCGGCGCGGGGGCTTGCGCGGTGCACGGTGTGCCCCGGGCCCACGACGGGCACGGGCAGGCGGGCGGTCTCGCGAAGCAGCGCAGGGACGTGCAGGCCGTGCAGAGGGGCGCGCCGTCGGTGCCCGCACGACCCCGCGCCCCCCCCAAAGACCATCCACCGTTGTCTCAACTGACCCTCCTCCGAGGACGTCCGACATGGGTACGGCAAGAATGGGTACGATGCCCATCAACAAACGTTGTTCAAAAGCGGCAGCGGCCGCTGTTGGGCAGCCTTCTGTCTCAAATGGACGTCGTCCGCGGCGACACCGACAGCGAGGCCGATCCAAAATGAACAGGACATGCTCTCAGTCTCCGTACCCGTTAATTTCGTACACATTTCGATAGCCCCGATCCTCTGATGACGACCTGCAGCTTGCCCCGCCACCCGCGCAAGGGATTGCACCAGCCGCGCCAGACTGACCACGCGCGTAGTCAGGGCGGCGCGGGGCTGGCAGCGCCCGGTTAGGCCGAGGAGCGCGGGTGCCGTCGTCGTCGCAGGCGTCGCCGTCGCCGTCGGTCGTCGTCGTCGTCGTCGTCGTCGCCGTCGTCGTCGTCGTCGTCGTCGTCGTCGTCGTCGTCGTCGTCGTCGTCGTTGTCGTCGTCGTCGTTGTCGTCGTCGTCGTCGTCGTCGTCGTCGTCGTCGTTGTCGTCGTCGTTGTCGTCGTCGTCGTCGTCGTCGTCGCAGGCGTCGCAGGCGTCGCAGGCGTCGCAGGCGTCGCAGGCGTCGCAGGCGTCGCAGGCGTCGCAGGCGTCGTCGTCGTCGTCGCCGTCCACGTCGTCGTCGCGGTCAACGTCGTCGTAATAGTCGTCGGGCGGCAGCGCCACAACCTGGCTACCCCGGCTGGACTCGGTGGCGCCCGATGCTTCCGCTCCAGGGCCTCGGCCTGTCTCCTGGGCGTGGCCGCCGATCGGAGTGGGAACGAACGATGTACGGTCAGGAGCTTCTGCTCAGCATGTCGCGGCGGCGGCCCTGACGACACGCTATGCCCTGCGAGCGGGTAGCGCGTCGCTCAGCTCCGCATGGCGCGAGGTTCGGAAAGTCTCGGGACTTTGACGCTTGAGGCTTGGGGGCGCGGACGTGGATAGCGTGTCGCTCCGAAGCGTGGTGGGCCAGAACCGGCGGAGCGACACGCTGAGCCAAAGTTCTTGACCGCAGCCCCAAAAAGGCTTGGCGCCGGCCGTACGGTGGTGGCGCGAGGGCGTTGGGCTTCCCAGAAGCCCTCTTGGGAGTCTCTGGGGCCTTCTGAGAAGGCCCTCCGCCTTCCAAGAAGGCCCTCATCCTTCTCAGAAGGTCGCCCCCCCTTTGGCGCCACCTCGCCCCCCCCCTCATGGGCGCCGCCATAAGGCAGCTGGCCGACCGCCAAGGGCCAGCACAAGATACAGCCAAGACAATCTTCCCTGCCCCTCCTCCTCCTCCTGCTCCACCTCCTCCTGGTCCACCTCCTGCTCTGGTTCCTCTTCGCCGGGTGGCCCCCGTCTGTGTGTCCTGTCTTCTGACACATACCTCTGCGAGCCGGCCAATCCTAGCTCGCACCAGACGGCCCCGTTGGCCTCTCTCTCCACCTTCCACCTCGTCATCCTCCGACTCCTCCCCTCGTCATCCTCCGGGTCGGGCGAAGCGGGGGGTGTAAAGGGGAGGTTAACGAATCAGCTTACTTAGCTGGTTTTCCTGGCGCCCTGGCGCCAGAGAAGCCAGTGCATCGAGAAAAGTATCCGGCGGCGGGGCCGAAACCAGCTGCATGCAGCAGATTTCGTATCCCCACTTCCATATCAGCCCTTTCGTCCGACCCAACTCTCCCTCCCCCTCTTTCTCTTCCTCTTCCTCCTCCTCCTCCTCCTCCTCCTCCTCCTCTTATGCCTCCTCCTTCTCTTCCACATCACCTCGTCTCAGGGCGCCTGAGCGAACCCAGCACCGCTGGCGTGTACTGGCGGCACGGCTAGCCGTGGAAGTTTGGCCAGCGCCATCGCCGGGTGGCCAGAGGGAGGGAGGGAGAGAGAGAGAGAGAGCACTTCGGGCGTCTCGGCTAAAAATAAGCTACCCCGTCCCTGCCTATCTCTTCAGAGCGAAAGAGAAGGGGGAGAACAAGAACACACACACACACACTCACACTGCAATTGTGTGTCGGAAGAACTACGTATCGAAAAACTACTCGGGCCAACTCTCTGGCCGTCCCAACCAACCCTCCACCCAACCCTGGCCAGCCCTCACGGCCAACGCCTCCGACCAGCCCTGGTTAGGATTAATAGATCCAATATGTCTGATATACATGGACATCGGCCCCTACATAGACATCGGCGACACCTGGTCGTATTCCTACATGCATGCATGTATACGTGTGCAGAACAAATACATGTATGTAAATATACACCTTATGGGTTTATGCATTACAGCGCTGGCACATTTCCGCCTCGTTCAAAGCATCACGCGGCACATGCTTTGGATTCAGCTGTGGTGTCCAGCAGGGTTCACTTATAAACTTTCATTCGACATCAAATTGCACGCTTTTCTCATTCCTGTGATCCAGCGCACTGTCCGTTATGCCCGGCTTCTTCATAATATCTCGCAATGCGCCCTGCTCAGTGTAACCATCCTGCGCGCGCATGCCAGTAACAACGTGTTCGTTCATCATTTGCGAGCACGCTGTTGCTGGCGTGAGGTGCGTAGCCAGTGGTCCGAGTCCTGCGCACCATACTGTATGAATTATACTGCCGGTGGCCCGAGTCGAACTCAAATGACCAAAACTAGAGACGCTATGGGCAACCAGGACAGTTTGCCCGCACTGCGGGGCAACCTCAAAAAAAGAACGCGATCTGGCAAGTCGGCGCGATGCACGCTGGACCTCCGCTGCTTCAGCGGCACGTGTCTTGGCAAGCATCCGTCGCTGCAGCCCCCCCAACCACACACACACACACCTCTGCCCACATTGACCGCATGCACCGCCCCATCCCCCACTCCCGAAGCTCCCTGGGCGGCCCGAGGCTTGTCTGGGGGTCTCCAAAACTCAGCAAAAGGCTTCCAAGCCGACCCCGGGAGGCCATCAAGGCCACCAAGGTGGCCCAACACTGCCTCACAAGTCACCCAACAATCCCCTGGAAGACCCCAAGAGGTGCCAAGAGGCCTCCAAGACACCAAAGAGAAGGCCAAGAGGCCTTCCAGGCAGGCCAACATCACTCACTCACATCAGAAAGTCCTGAGGTGTTTTGAACATTATGCGTTGCCCAAAAGAGAACCAGGGTGCCAAATCGGCCCCATGAGGGCCCGTACGAGCCCCCCAGACAGCCCAGGACAGTCCCAAGGGGGCCCCAAGACGGACCAAGAGAGGCCCAGGACAGCCCACGAGAGCCCCAAGATGGTCCGAGAGAAAAAGAGAGAGAGAGAGAGAGAGAGAAAGAGAGAGAGAGAGAGAGGGAGAGAGAGAGAGAGAGACAGGGACCCTGACAGGGGTGCTAAGTTTTCCATGACAAGGACCCTGACAGTGGACAGGGCCCGCTCTTGAATTCATGCAGCAGGCGAGGCCGAAACGACAGGAGCCGACTGATAGGCGATAGCCAGGGAGGGCCAGAATGTAGAAGGCCCGGGCAAAGCTGCTCAGCGTCGCTCCCTGAGGGCCGACGGGCCCGCCATGATCATCCGCGGCCTGGAAGGAAGAGGGGGTGGAGAAGTGGGAGAGGGAGGTGGAGGAGGACGAGGAGGAGGAGGAGGAGAATACGAAGGCGAGAAGGGGAGAAGGGTGAGAGAGGAGGGGAGGACGAGGGAGAAAAGAAGAGGGAGGGAGGAGGAGATGATGAGAGAGATGGCAAGGGGAAGGGAGAAGGGAGGAGGGATGGGAGAGGATGGAGAAGGAAAGAGGAGGAGGGAGGAAGGATTACGAATGAATGAGGAGTGTGGAAGAGAAGGAGGGAGGGGTAAGGCAGGCAAGGAGAGAGGAAGCAAGAAAGCTCCCCAGAGCTGCCGTCGGCTTGATATCGGACAGGGTTGGATAAAGCGGTGATGCAAACGGTGAGCACAGGGCATCAGGACACGTACTTGGTCGCCATGATGAACGCAGCCCAGGCTGATGTCAGCGGGGCCAGTACTAGAGCCATCAGGATGTACCTGCGAGTGGGGATCGTTCACACGGCGATGGAGCAAAGCCAGAGCGATGCCTCGAAAAGGGATCAGCACATCATCTGCACTCTTACATGCCCTCCCTCTTACCGGAAAAGATCGATGGATGGAGCTGAAAATCAGAACGGGTCTAAGACGAAGGGGAAAGGTAGGCTGGGTGGGAGAGATGAGAGGATGACGACGACCACGGCGACGCAGGGAGTGGACGGTGATGGGGAGGAACAGTGGGAGGGGGAGCGAATGGAGGCGAGGAGATTTGGACGGAAGCAGGAAAGGAAGAGGAGGCGATAATGAGTAGGATGAAGATAAGGAGTGTACGGAGGACGAGAGAGCTGAAACACAAAGGAAGGAGGCGAGGAAGAGGGGGAGGAGCAAGAGAAGGGGGGAGGAAGAGGAGAGAGAGAAGTAGAGGCTACATGTATCACGACACTCATAAGATAGCTTACCTGGCAAGCCAGAGAAGACGCGTGAAAAGAATCAAGCTCGCGCGGCGGGCCCGTACCTGGACGCTGGATGAACGGACTGGTGGTGGGGGACGCCCCCGAGGAAAGCGTCGGGGCCAGACATCCGTGAGTCGGAGTAGATGGCCACGTCCTTGAACTGCGTATTGCCGGTTACCTGCCCCTCCTCATCCTCCCCCTCCAGGAGGGCGAGGAGCAATTGGAGGAGGCTCCTCCAGCTCCTCCATCCCTTTTCCTTATCCGCCGACCGCCACTTGCCGGGGGTGAAAAGGCGTGTGAGACATCTGGCTGTCCCCCTCCCCCGTTCCCCATCCCTGGGGGGCACGAAATGCCGTTTAAGGGGGAGGGTGCACGAGCTTCTCTGGAGCCTCCAGGGCCTCCAAACAGCACCCAGAAGGCCCCAGAGAGCCCAAACAGCGCGCCAGGATAGTCAAGAGAGCGTCGAGAGGGCCCAAGGTAGGCATATGACAGTCCAAGATTCCTTCGAGAACGCCACATGAGTGCTCCCAGATGGCTGCCGAGGAGGGCCCCACGAGGCAAACATCGTCCCAATCCGACGGGAAAACGCACGTGTTTGGCATACCCCATCTTCCCAGCGTCCAAGACGGCCCGAAATGCTCCCAAGATGATCCCGAGACTGCCCTCAAGGGCCCCAAGTGACCACCAAGACTGCCCCAGAGGGCCCCAAGACGGCTACATGGGCCCCCTAAGAAGGCCTGGGGGAGCCCCACGAGAAGCCTGACAAGCGCCACAGAGGGGGGCTACCAACCGGCATGTCGAGCCTTTCCCCCAAAGATGGTCCCAAGAGCCCCCCAGAGGCCCCCAAGAAGCTCCCACGAGGCCCCGACAAAGCCCCCCGGATGCCCCTGAGAACCTCCAAAGCACTTCGTAAAGAAAGAACTCAACAATTCCAATAATCTTCCCACACACACACATCATGGCCCCACAAACCTTGAACGTCTCCCTCAAGCCGTTGTCCATTACGCGAAGGAGTCCTCGACGACGACCGAGCAGGCCTCAAGACTGCCGAGAGGCCTCGCAGACGCCCCAAGAGGGCTCCGAGACGACTGCCGAGAAAGCCCCAAGACGCAAGAATCGGCCCCCCCTTCCTCCCCCTGGGGAAATTATCCCGGCAAAGCAACCTAACAGCGATGTGTAGAAGCATATCTGAAAGCATTCCCCTTAAGATTCAGATGAAAATCCAGTTGTCGAATTCTGCTGTTCTCGCAGTCGTAGTCGCATTCGCGATGACAGTCGCAGCGGCAACGGCAGTCGCAGTCACAGCCTCAGCCTCAGCCTGCCTCCTCCTCCTCCTCCTCTTTCTCCTGCTCCTCCTCCTCCTCCTCCTCCTCAGCTCGTCCTCCTCGTCCTCCTCGTCTTGCTCGTCCTCCTCCTCCTGGTGCTCTCTCCTCCTCCTCCTCCTCCTCCTCCTCCTCCTCCTCCTCCTCCTCCTCCTCCTCCTCCTCCTCCTCCTGGTGGTCCTCGTTCTCCTCCTCCTGGTGCTCTCCCCCCCCCTCCTCCTCCTCGTCCTCCTCCTCCTCCTCCTCCTCGTCCTCCTCCTCCTCTTCCTCCTCCTCCTCCTCCTCCTCCTCCTGGTAGTCCTCCCCCTCCCCTCCTCCTCCTCCTCCTCCTCCTTCCTGGTCGTCCTCGTTCTCGTCCTCCTCGTCTTGCTCGTCCTCCTCCTCCTGGTGTTCTCTCCTCCTCCTCCTCCTCCTCCTCCTCCTCCTCCTCCTCCTGGTGGTCCTCGTTCTCCTCCTCCTGGTACTCTCCCCCCCCCTCCTCCTCCTCCTCCTCGTCCTCGTCCTCCTCCTCCTCCTCCTCCTCTTCCTCCTCCTCCTCCTCCTCCTCCTCCTCCTCCTCCTGGTACTCCTCCCCCTCCCCTCCTCCTCCTCCTCCTCCTCCTCCTGGTCGTCCTCCTCCTCCTGGTCGTCCTCCTCCTCCTGCTCGTCCTCCTCCTCCTCCTGCTCGTCCTTTTTCTCCTGCTCCTCCTGCTCCTCGTCCTGCTCCTGCTCGTCCTCGTCCTCCTGGTCTTGCTCGTCCTCCTCCTCGTCGTGCTCTTGCCCCTGCTGAAAATGTGGCCCAGGAATGGGAGTTCTGGGAAGTCGAAGAGCACGAAGTTGCCTACAGTTGGCTACGGGCATTCAAAATGTGGCCCGGGAATGGAGTTCTGGGAACTCGAAGAGCACGAAGTGGCCTACAGTTGGCTCCGGGCATTCAAAATGTGGCCCGGGAATGGAGTTCTGGGAACTCGAAGACCACGAAGTGGCCTACAGTTGGCTCCGGGCATCCAAAATGTGGCCCGGGAATGGAGTTCTGGGAACTCGAAGAGCACGAAGTGTGTGACTGTTGCATCCGGCCCTCCAGAATGTGGCCCGGGAATGGCGTTCTGGGAACTCGAAGAGCACGAAGTGTGTGACTGTTGCGTCCGGCTATTCCGAATGTGGCCCGGGAATGGCGTTCTGGGATGTCGAAGAGCACGAAGTGTGTGACTGTTGCATCCGGGTATTCAGAATGAGCCTGGTGAGTTCTGGGAAGTCGAAGAGCAC